GCCAATTTTTTAATTCACGTTTCCTTGATAGGTCTGAACAGTTGTCCATTGTTATCTATCGCTGCTACTTTTTGCATCTCTACGTAGCCTTCTAATCAGCCTACTTCTAAACTTCTTCCGCTCCTCATCGTGCCCGGAGCCAGACGGGATGAGGTTCCGAGCATCTATCAATGCTGTAACCACCTCTTAAATCCACTGATTTTCCTGAACCTTTTGGACTAAGCTACTAATAGATATCACTGCCGTCCCCACAGCTTTTTAGATATCATACCAAGCTACCTCAGGGTCACTATCACTTCCAAGGTTGACTAATTCGTTTTGTTGCCACTGAAATATATTCTTAACTTCATCATTAGGTTGGGTTATAAGAGGTTTTCTTGCTGTAGCTTTTCTACTTTCAATAAGACTCAGACAAATACGTGCTCGAACTAGAGTATGATGCGAGTCTAAACATGTGGTCCAGGGTGTGTGATAGTCTTCAATCGAGCCCCTCCAGCGATGGGTAATGTGGTAATAGCAATGTGATCTATTCGAGTCGATTGTGGGGTCACCACGTCGGACGATGTTTTTCCTTACGTTTAAAGTTGGTGTTTGCCTGAAATAGGCTGTTATCTAAGCATATTTGTAACCGAAGCTCACCATCATCTGTTCGCTTAGCCGCAACACCGTAAGATCTGCCTAAGGGCCTTGCAGTCTGATTTAGTTTAACTACTTGTACATCAAAATCACCTGCCACCATTTCTAAATCAGAGTATTTTAGCTTTATGAAGGGATGTGAATAGGTCCCTAAAAATACCATCTTTGATTTCATCCGGGTTGCAATCAGTGGTAGTGTAGACGAGACAACGGAAAGGCTACAACATGTATCCCTATCTCTTAGAGTTCTTACTGCCCTGTTTATTCGGACGGTGCACAAACGAATTTCTATTAGAATCCAATATAACAGAACCTGTTCTGCTTCTGGACATAATACTATTTTAGTGGCCCGTGAATCTGACTCCTCTTTAGATCGTATGGATGTTTGCTATCGCCTTTTCTCGTATATCATCGTCGACTAAAATCACGTTAGTCAGTAACGGAATTAAATAAGTCGAATAACGAGAATTGATCTGTGAATACATATATTTTGTATATGAAGCGGATGAAACATAGCAATGCAAAATGACACGCAGGGAAGATGGCTGGGAAGCCAACTCCATTTTAGTCAAGCATTACTCAATATTTATAGTCAGACAAAATAAAGCTACAGACATGTGATTAATAGGATAAGAAGGGCACACACATGTACGCTCATATAAAAACAGTCTAGAATAAATAACAAGGTTAAAGTATGGCTCAAGTAGAATGGGATGTCCGAAAGCTAGAATAAGGTATATGGGCTTAATATAATAACCGACACTACACTATACCTATACTAGCGAGGTCGCAGGAAGTGTTATTGGGGTCTCTAGATACTGGAAGGGTAAATCGTGGCGGTTCTTCATATTGACAAGGTGAGGTCATATTATTGACTACTTAGATCCTGTATGCGCGTTTCGGAGACGCAGCATACATCGATGGCGCGAGACTTTGGTCCCAGCGAACGAAGCCTGTTGCCCTATCTGACACAAGATTCGAACATTTAAAGCTCCAACATGGAGTTTAGAGCGTGGTTTTAGGAGACCAGGAATGACATTTCGTAAGCTCAAATTATTAGCATTGCTGGCGTGTGGTAATAAAGTTATATGAGAAGATTAGTCGAGGGGATAGAATTACTGAGAGGTGATCATCAACAAAATAATGTGAGGGTGGACCCGACGAGGAATCTAAATTAGTATTGTCATTAACGACCTGGAAGCGCTGCCACAGAGCCTAAGGCCGTGTGAGTACGGGATTTTTATGCAAAGATTTCGATGTGTCAGTCCCGCACTTCAAAAGGCCTTACCGCTAGAGATGGAAATCTATGGGGTAAGGTGAGGTGTGAGATTTTTAAGACCGACCTTTTCTAACCCCTTCCTTCCGTTGTAAGAAACCAGCATCGCTGCAAATACTGATTGTTCGAGTAAAACACCTCACTGCTGTCACACCTCTGTACAGTCAGCAGTATGACTTCGCCCTCGGGTCTCAAGTTGTTGCCTTTAGTCTTCCCGTTCTCCAACTGACATGGTGTGACCTATAGGAACATGTTTTCCAGACAATATAGCTCGGTTGAGTCATCACGATAAGCAAGCCCGACAACCAAGTTAAGGTAGCACCTACGGTTGGGAAATATATACTTAGAATTATTTTCTACCATGTTTTCAATAATAATAATAATGTTCTTTTAGGGGTGCAACGAGTAAATGCGCTGACCATTCAAACATAATGTAGACAGGCTTCAACTCCAAAAATTTCTGGCTATATTTGAGGCTATATTTATTTAACATACCTATTTCTATAATCAAGTAGATTTAAAGTGATTGCAGTGAATAGCTACGCCTAAACTTTTTTCACTGTCTTATAAAAAACATCCATGTAACAAAATAGAGACAGTTCCGTCAATCGGTCTGTTTCGCTTATATACTCATCTCTCAAGATAGCAAATTCTCGGTTGAAAACTCGTTCTGTATTAGGTTTAATAATGTTTTCGGACGTTGTAATCTTCAATGTATAGTCTGAAGCGTTGCTTCAGTATATCGGTATTAATAGTCCGTAGATCTAATTCCTTAATACTAATTACGGAAGTTCTATTAAAAATTGTGGGTGATATTGTTACTAATACGGTATGATGACAGATAAAAGGAGAAAGTTCAGGAGCAAGAAGGTTTTTGTGACGTTGGCAGTGTGAGGAAAAGTGAGACTTCTTGGTTGTTCATAGCGTAAATATTGATAGCTTAAAGTACTCGAGAAATTATTTGGCACAGTGTAATAATGGTACTCAAAGAACATTTATCACATTTCGATAATGGTATTTTTAGATTTTGGTGGGCGAGGCAAATTGTTCATCATTTGGGGAACTTTACCACAAGTGAAATAAATCTTTAGCTCAAAAATAAAGTGCACTATTTTTAGACACGATATTTTTCAATGTACGTTGGGATTTTAGTCGTTCGGTGGGAAGCGTATTCTATCGTTTTGGTATCCTTTACATGAAGTAATTGAAACAAAAACACTTGATAAGATCGAGCTTCACAAAATGAATTTATTTATTTCACCTGAGAATTTGCTTGTAAAATTGACGCTTATTGGCATCATCACTGATATACAAATATAGTAGGTTTTGTCGCACAGTCAATGGTACATCGGGATTCTGTTGTACATTTCGAACTGTTGTGTTACAGTAAATTTGATTCGGAGTTAACACTAGGTTGAAATATAGGTATTGAAGTAGTCTCACTAGTGACAAGTAGACACCGTAATTAAAGTTGCTTTGGATTAGAAAAAAATCGTCAAATCTTAAACATAAGCGATAAATCTAGATAATTACTAATTGAATTGTAATCTATGCAAATAAAACTAGTCATATGAAAATATTGTACAATGTCCACCTACTAACCATTATGATTCAATGATATGCATTTTGAAGTGTTACAGCTTGAACTAATGCTCTTCGGTTGCACACTTTCTAATACCTCCCCATTCGAACATGCGAAAGGTTTTTATCAGGGGTTCATGAGACAATCTTGTTCTATCTTAAAGCTAGATCTGTAGTGACCTAGAACACATATGGGAACAACTGATTGTACATAATCTTTGTAAACTGAGAACAATAGACTGAATACTTCTTTTGCAAATTTCCATCATTTGTCGTTCACATTCTGTATGATTCTCCCAGTCCATAATTCCTTTTTATTTTCTTCAACTCGATCTTCTTGGCCTTCTGCTGCCAGGTTTTCCAATTGATAGTACATACTACTTATGTCTGTCGATATAAGTAGTAGTATAAACCACAGATCTAAATGTTACTTTGATATAACACAGCGTTTATCTTGAGCTTTGAACTTTCCATTAGGGTGTTGCGTAACGAAAATGCACTTACGATCTACTATACCTAGGACTCAAACTTCTGTTTTAACTCAGAAAACACAACACCAAAATCGTTCACCTGAGCTACAAATCTCCACCATCTCAGTTGAATATAGCCTAGAACTACAACATCATCTGGTACTAGGCAATTGTTAACCGTATGGTTAGCTCAACAAGTTCATTTTACTGAGCGAGTATTTTTCAATAACTTCGATCGATGAAGGTTCGCAGCCTCGTCAACGAACACATCATCTCTATCTGGTGCTGCCCCGGATTATGAGTAAGCAATGCTTCGGAGATATCCATAACCGAATACCTTCAACGAGCACTCGCTTTCTAACCTCGTAAGCCATAAGTGCGCGGTCGACACGTTCACTCCGTATGGGCAAACTAAGAACTTAGACAAGTCATTTCTTAAAAGAAGCACATCTTGCACAACGACGTTTACGATAATACTATATTCTGTCAGCACGTACACAAGTTTGTCTTTTCACCTGTTTTCCAAGTTGAGTCGTCAGTATCATTTCTGAGAGTCTATCAATTAGACAGACGCTACTCAAATTCACAGAATTTCCCAAATCTTACGGCTTTGGTTACTACGAGACATTTGCTTTCAAATTCGCTTGTAGACCATGCAACGCTACCCTTGGACGAGCGACAGCTTCATGTTCATTTTTTTCTAATTAGTTGCTTCTTAAAAACCCCGAAATTTTGATAGTCTAATCTTTCGGTCCATCAGGTTTGAAAAACCCTGACAAATCTCATCCAGATTGCTAAATTCCTATGATACTTAGAGTTAGTGCTAGCCAAGTTAACACTTCGATCTTGTTGAGGAACTATCAGCTAAATTTACTTATATACCAGTGAGATGGAATATGGGTGACTTTAAATGCTTGTAAAGGGCTCAGATCGATCTTTTATTGGAGATCAGAAGTAAATCTTATCCACAGATACTTAAGTGATATTTAGAAAAAATTAGTTCGGTTAAAAACAACTGTATATATTCCTCAGTAGTAATTTGAATTCATGAAACAGAAAAACAATTTTTGCATACTAATATTGTTATTGTGTTACAGGGGGGATTTTGACTAAAAGTTGATCATCAGCCAAAATGATATCTCCACTGAAATCTGTAGATTTGGCTTGATCTAAGATAATTTGTAAACTAGGTTTGTTTTTCTTATCATTTTTAGATTTCTTTGAATGATTCACCTGTTCACCAATTTCACCTGTAAGAAAGTACAGTTCGTGTGATTTTTCAAAGTAATGATAAATGAATAATATTAACCATTCATATATTGATGTAATGAAAAAGCCAAAGCAATAGCAATACGGTGCAATCAGTTTTCCTGACTATTTGGTTATATGTTTAAATTTATTTTGAACAGTACAATATGATATCTGTCAACTCAACTTGTAGAAGCTTAAATCCAAAGGGTTTACTAAGAAATAAACATTATTTATAACATCGGGCGTAATAGTATCGCATCGATATATATAATGTAGATCACAAAAAATTAACTTTTAGATTCATTGGATGAGTACTGAAGAGATAAAGTCTTGAGGTGAATAAGAGACTTCACCCGTGGTCTATGGATTATGAGTCGTGATGAACAATTCTAACTACCTTGCAATTTCATTAACATTTAATTTTGCCATTTTTCTTAGGGCAATGTTTTCAGCTTAGATTTTAAAGAACCAAAAATTGCGTCTCCTTGAATATACATCAGTTTTCTTTGGTGTTATTAGTACCAAATTAATGAGTGATAACGAAGCATAAAATACGACTTGTTGTTTACACAAACAAATATGCCTTAAAACGAAAGGAGTATTATATTTGATGGTTTTCTCCCCAGACTGACACCTACAGGAGAATCATTGGAACACCGGACATTTGTTTTGGCACAGTATGGAAATCTTCATTAGTAATAACCAACAATCTGTATTCCTCGCAGAGAACGTGTTACCTACAGATCAATGCATCGGGATTTGAGAGGATATATTTTGAATCCAGTGATAACTTTTATCTAAGTTCTAAAATTATTATCTGTATGTATATATTAGTGCGATAAACTACTGTAACTTATAATTTATCTCATCAATAATTAAATTTACTAATTAATCTACATTCTAATGACATTCTTCAGAAGTTTAAAACCTGTTAACTTCAATACTGAATCTGTGGTTGCTTTTGATAAATAAATGAGCTGAGTAGTCTTCTGATCAATTCTTAATTATAGCATTATTGAGATTCTGCTAAAGTGAATTTCTATCAACATTTCAGTTTGTTTTTGACAAAAAATAATAGCAGTACTCATGAATACATTAATTTACAATATATTTTGTTGGGTAAAACTATATTTTTATAACAATATCAAGGTGAATTTACTTTTTATAGTGTTTTCATCTGGAGAATCTATTCGATCATATCTATGACTGAAATGTGTTAAAACTAACTGACGAACATTGAGTTGACAGGCTAATTTCATTACAACTCTTGGTACAGAATGACCTTTGCTCAATGCATCCTCATATAAACTGTCGTCTAAAGTAGCTTCATGTACAAGAGTATCCAAAGTTATAGAAGTAATTTGATTTGTAGTATGCAAAACCTGCATAAGACGTAAAAGTTCAGAAGAATCATACGTATCCCCCATAATTGCGATACGATGACCTCTTAAACGCGGTTTCAACACATCTTCAGGTCGAACTGTTTTACCATCAATGACAACTGTCTTACCCTTGGGAGAAGAAAAAAGCATTGAAATTGTTTTGTGATATCGATTAACAAATGATATCAGAATCAAAACTTATATTCTATCTTGAGAAAAACAATCGATTTTAGTGTTAATAATCTAAGTTAATTCTAAATTATGATGTTTTACATCAAAAAACCAAGAGACAAGTGAATATATGAAAAGTCGTTAGAAACACTAACCATAAAACAACATAAGATAGAAACATTCACATATAAATGTTGTACTAAAAAAAAACAATTTAGATAAATGATTATGACTATCGAATTGGTCAACTATTAAAATATCACTAACTAAAAATAAGATTATAAATATATACATGTGATATGCCTGGTTATTATAAAAGAAAATCTAATTCGGATATATAATTGTAATTCAAAATACATCAGCTAAAATTCACTAATCAACTATCTCTGTCATTATGAACTATGAATAATAAGAATTAATTATTAATTACTAATTAATTTAAATAAAAGTAATTGAATTATGAGCAGTAATGTTAGCATAACTTATATTTTTATTGACAAACCTAGAAAATTTCTCTGAAATATTGACGTTATACAATAAATCAACTTTATTGAAATCGAAATACACCATTATTTAGATTGAAGTTTGTTATTATCAAACATCATAACAATATGATTGGATTAATAATCTATGCTCTATTATTATTATTATTATCCAGGATTAGGATTCCATGGACGAAACTATAGACGTTAGTTTTAATGTTAATTGTAGTGTATAGTCAAAGAGTATGACAGTCTATGGTTTCTCTTTCATTTTTTTTAACTAGACAAAGACAAAAGTATCTATAATAAGGAGGGGATGAACGCAAGTGAATTCCTGAAATATTATGATTACTCCTCAATTATTTGTCATTCAGTTTGATTATTTGGCTGACGATATGCTGATATTTCTCAGTTAGATTGTTTCGTGTCAATCCTAGTGATTTATCTTGATAATCTAAAACTTTACATTTTTATATTATTGTTCCTTATACCTGTTTGTCAATTAGGTGTTTTAAGATACTTAGATATATTCAATTCATGATCGTCTGAAAACAACAAAATAGAACTGATGAAAAATAGAAATTATCAATGTCGGTTAATCATAAACAAAGTAGGAACTGACAGAAATGTTAGTTGGTTCAATTTGTTTTACATTACAGTAACATGGTAAGAATAAATCAACAAAACTAAAGTCAAAAAGTGTAAATAAAAGTAGTCGGTAAGCAATATTGCAGTAAAGTGTTCAGTCACGGTAGTCTGTAAGCAGATGAAAATATTAATAAAATTAAAAACGGTATCCTGGAACGATTACCTGAACTTGGTAACCTGATTTAAAATGGTAAAAAGATTATCTGTACGATGAAGGAAGTGATATATGATAAGATATAATCATTTAATTTATGCATACTTAACAAAGGTATTAACATAACTAACTATTGAGTGAGTCTGTTCCAATAATACACTAGATCAGCTGATGAATATGAAATACGATAAACAAGAATGTAATATTACTCACTTAATTCAATTATATGTATCATACACAACAAAGCCCCCAAATGCCCTGGTGCGGCCGAGAGTGCGGAGAGTCCTCTCTCCTCGCAATGCAGCCATTGCCAGGGAAGTCCTACTCACGGCCTTCCCGCGGCGGGCTGGTTGTTTACGAAATTGAGAGGACAAAAAGCGAATGTCCGACGCTTTGACCGGGTTGGTGGATGAGGAGGATCCACCTAGGGGAGTTGGGAACCTCTGATTCCAGGCCAATGGTACACATGAGCTCCGGTAGCCTGAGGGAACAAATAGCGTAAGAACCAATCGTTGGTCACCGGCTACCATGGGACTGCGTCTCCCGACGTTGCTCTACTTCCTTGTGGATCAGACCTATAGGTCGAAGACTTCGAGTGTGACCCCTGAGAAAATCACCTTCTACAGTCTGGCCACCCGGGTAGTATCGCTGCTCATATGCACAAATCAAGTGACTTGTGCGGTGCATATGTATTCGGTGCCTCCTTGTACCAATATTTGTGTTCAAATAAATAAATAAGTATGTATCAGACGATTAAGAGCATAAATTATGTCAGGGTTTACGGTGATAATCAGATACAAAGAAACACACTTAACTTAGTAACACATGAACATATGAATAAACCGCTGACAGTTAATTGTATATATTGAAGGCTCTATGTTCTTTTAGATAAGAGCATAGAAGTAAAAATGTTACCGAGTCAACTCATATACCCGTTACTAGTATCACTGATAACTTTGATATGATATGTCCATTTAATTATTTATACGATATCACAACACCGAATTAATGAAATAAAAACATATATAAAATACTCGTTTCAGTTCACCCATTAATCGTCCTTTGGGAACGCCTAATTTTATAGCTGTCTCAGCACACAAGGAAGGTGCATGATCCGGCTTTATTATCAGCCAACCTACGGAAGGAATCGTATGTTTTATAGACACTGCATGCACCATTTCACAGTTCTCTTCATTATTTGTAACATTATACCAGAATCCTGAAAACAGATAACACATAGCATCATGTAACATACTTCAAAACTTAATTAGACAAACTCTCATAGAACCATAATAATATCAGTGAAGTTTTCGTGAATTTAATACAAAGTTATAGGGGATAGCTACATAAAAATTAGATTTGTAAGATATTGGTTGGAAAGGTAGAAACTTTCTTGTTCCTGCCTTTGACTTTTTCCTGGACTAGTTAAACTCAGTCAGTGACTTTCCTATGGCAATTTAATTTTGATCTAGAACATATGATACATAGTTGCTTATAGTGACTAACCAACTGAGACATACTATTAAGTGGAGAATTCATTATTTATTCACCAACGGACTTTAAGTAATGCACACCATCCATCATCGTAACAGAATTTCAATAAGTTAACTAGGAAAAAAGAGAAATACAACTATAGGATCATGTTTCGGACTCACAACCATTATTCTTCGCTCTATGTCATATGGTGATTATCAGTTAAGTTTAGCATCAGAAAGATTTTTATGGAAAGCAATGAAATGGTTTCAAAGGTAAGATTCAGACGCTTATATGTCATCTCAACTCATTGCTGCTTATTAAAGAGCGCCAATAATCGTATGAAGTAACAGTGATGATGAATATATGTGATGTTGTAAAGTCAATCTTATTGGAGTCAACCTAATAATGGCTAAGTTAGGAACCAAACCATTTAAAAAACCTAGGTATGAATCCCACTTTCAGTTATAAAGCAATTACAATGCAATGCATTTCAATTTAAACATAATGAAATAAGTGAATTTAGACAAATATTTATAACTGACGTTCACCAATAAATCTTACCATCACTGTTCGCAAAAATGTCTCTACCAGAACGTTCACAAAATAATGGGGGATCTCGAGTTATATCAGCCTCTAAACATGCCCAGTCTTGCCAATTTGGAGGACAATGTTTTTCTTCTAGTATCAACTCATGAACAGCATAAGTGTAGCTTAAATTAGCTCTAGAACAAATGAAAATATTAAATCTTATTGGTGTTTTATCTCAAATTATACAGTATTTAAGTAAAATCTTACACAATGTAAAACAGTTTAATAAGATTGATATTAAATAACGAGACAAACTCTGTCACTGAAGAAAGAAGACAATTCAGCGAAGCAAATTTTCTTTTTGACGATTTCATTTATTTAAGCTGTACAATCGTATTTATAGTTAATTCTATTTGCTAAAATAGTAGTTTATAGTAAAACAAAATATCTAAAAAAAGCCGGAGTGACATCTTATCATGAAATGCTTACGAAAATCAGATATCGAAAGAAAGTTATGTGACAATTGGCTAGTGAGAATTGGTAGTGTGAAGACAATTATCCACTACATAGCGGTTAAGAAGAGAATAATTAAAAATCATAATAATTGTTAATGCTATGAAAATAAATGGGAAGGAGTAGAATAACGAAATAAAAACAAAAAACCATAGATTATAGAAAACAGAAGGATGAGAGACTGAAAATACTGTTTTTGTACGCAAAGGTTAAACTTGAACTGGTGGATAGAGATAGCCTCTGCTGTACATAAGTTTTCCATTTGCATTGCTGTTGAGCGACACTTCTGACTGTATGCATGGTTTCGAAGGAGGATTTTGATCAAACGGAGTGACCAGATTCTTTGAAAAATTGATATTCACATGCCATATTGCTTTTGTGAAATCCAAAATATATAACATACAATAAGAGATTACCGAAATCTATTTTTATCCAGGTCGTTAATTTTCCACAAATATGTCATAAGATATTCCGACTTTGATTGACGCAAAGGATTGCGAGCGATCACTTATGTCTGGTAAGTTGTCATAATCAAGGACAACTGAATTTTTTATAGGCTACTTATCAAATAACAGCTTCACTGAATAGCAACGTTGAATAAATAGCAGGTATTGGATGTTGAGGATTTCGATTGGCATTATTCAGATAGTACCAGAATGCAGAAAAATGTAGGAAAGTTTACAGAAAAGTAATGGTGGGGCTTTTTTCACATAGCCGTTTTAAAGTAACTTTAAAATAGGCAAAACAAAGCCAGAACTGCAGTGGGAATTTATGAAGAATTTTAATCTTTGGTTAATGCATTGATGTCCGGTCAACCGTTCAGACTTGGTTTTAAATCATGAACTACTGATACCTTAGTCAAACTGAAGGATGAGCGGAATGCCGCATATTTAAAAAAAGTGAACAGAATCATTTCATAATATTGAAGTTATGTTATTTAGGATTCACACTTATTCCAATGCCGAAGACTTATTATGGAGATTAAAGGCATATTAAGCTTTAAGATGAACAATAAACTTTCTAGCTTATCTACTGGATTATTGTTTTGCTTCCGAGCTAATCAATACGTCAAGCTCTTGAGACCCCGTTAGAAAACACTCATCATATGTCCGTTACAGAATTTTGTGCATCCTCAAACATTTATTAATTATCATGGTGACATTGATATAATGTAAGTGACCGCATCAGATGTAACAGTAAGTGGTTCCCTTACATACTACAGAGTAATGGAATACCAAATGAAAGGAAAAAAATATTACAGAGCAAGAAGTTTAAGCGTTGAAACTTGATGTTAATGAGCAGCATGACGCAGTATATTTAAAGTTTAAGATATCATTCATCAGGCCCAAACAGAATATACAACTCTGTTGTAAATTAGAAAATGTAGATGTATCCATAATATATACTGACATTCAGACTTTGTAAATTGATTAAAGCTACTCTATGATTTCATATTTTGCAATATACAATATTTAAGAGTAAAGTACGACAATTCAATAACTAAATGCAACCTAATAAACCAGTAAAATTTCACAACTACTTTAAGAAGGCTAATGATAATATCCTGTTATACAGATCGAAACAAGATGCGAATTTTCAACCCAATAGTTGAAAGTACATATGCTACTAGATGTTAATAACATATCCGCGTTCTTACGAAGATCCGAGTATACTGAGTAGATTTCTAGCTATGTATTACACAGCTAATATACGACGTGGAGACATCATAATCGCAGGTATTTTCATACAAATTTCTTTGGAACTTTACTCATATTGGGCTAAACAAAAGAAATAGTTTTGATTTTAGACGTTGAGCTCTGAAAAATGGTAGAAATCTAATCGGAAAATCTGCTGACTTGAGCTTCCAGAAAATGTATTCTACTTCACACATTTTGTAGTTTCTAGGAAGCTTTGGAGTAACTGTTTCAGAACATAGAACCAGATCGTGAAGGAAATTCCCTAGAAACAGGTAGATAGGACGAATTTAACCTTTCAACCCTTAGTTACAGCATATCAGAACCATTTATTCAAAAATTATAGACATGGCCAGAAGAATTTTGCAATAGAACACACTCATTCATTTTAAACCTTTCTTTATCTGTTGAAGATTTTATCGTGGCCAATATTGGGTTTATTTTTTCTTGTCTTTTCTCTAATTAGTTAGTACATTTTCTTGTTTTATTATTTATCTATGTCGATTACAATTATCCAACTTAAACGGATGTACTAATGCATGAGATTTCATGTAATTTAATGCTCCTACCAGTCAAACATTTAGGTCAAAATAGCTTGATTGGGTGTCGAATAGATGACCGAATCACCAAACAGCGAACAGGCTGCAACAACCATAGCTTACCTTGATAATGCAAGAGCAAGTCGAAGGAATCTGCGAAGTCCCTTTGGCCCATAAATATTTATGGAGGCGCCATCGTTTTGTCGGTCTACATCTTCTAATACGACACTGTTAGCTTCACCTTTCTGATCTATTGTACATAAAAGTCCAGGAAGACCAAACATATGATCCCCATGAAGATGTGAAATAAAAATAGAATTGATTTTTCCAAAGTGAACGAAAGACGACTTTTGCGCTTGTATCTGTACACCTTCACCACAGTCAAATAACCATTGTGAACCAGAACATAAGTCACGTAATACTACACCAGAAGCTCCCCTATGGGGTGACGGATATCCAGATGCAGTGCCTAAGAAAATCAACTCCTGAAAAAGCAATGTCACACAATTTACTATAAAAAAATGTTGGCAGCTAAAATAAATCAAATACTTCTAAAATTAGTCGATATTAATTGAAGTTTTGATGGACGAGTAACAAGTTGGTTTTTGTGATTGTCGTGTAAAACATAGTCCTTTGGTTCTGTAATAACCTTACGTTTAATGCAAAGCCGGTGATTCCAAATCCTGAGAAGTCAGGAAGCTTCCAGATCTGTTGTGAATACAACGACCATACATTTAAATTTTATCAAGTTATGGTGAATAGAAGAATTTATTAACACCCGATCGTAAACGAAACTTCTCACTAATAAATTACACTCAGACCTACCAGTTGAGAGGTTTTGTGGCAATGTCTGGAAAGTACATTACATCATAGACGCTTTTACTATTGACCGGACCACAGGTTACGTACAAATTCCATCTGAATTAGAAACGTCAAGTAGTTGTTATTGTTATTATCATCTTTTTCATTCTCTATAAGCATATTTCTAGAGATGACTTTGTATTCACCTGGTTTTCGCCTGAAGACTTTTGTCGACTTAGACGATATACCCCTATTTAACCAAAAACTCGACGAAATGCAGTCTCTTGAACATCCTAACATACATTTGAGGAATGCTTTGAATGTGATCATCATATTGCAGTTACATTACTGTCCAGTTTGCGAAATAGTGAAGTGTTTGAGAGCGGTAAACAACCCAACTTTTAGTTTCCACAACCCAGTCATATTGGTGACTGACGAAACCTCGTGTTGAACAAAAACTTTCTATTTGACATTTTTGGAAATTGCGAAACACCTCAGATAAGGTGTCTTTTATCCCGTTAAAAACTCCGCCTGTAGCTCTTCTAGAGCTACTGCTGGTCCCAAGCCCGGGTAAAGGAGGAGGGTTAGACATGGGGTCGGCAACCCTATCCCGTAAAAAAAATCTTGCTAAAAGCACCCACTAGTAGGTTACCCCTTAGAAGCAACAGTTCATGCTATTTCAGTCTATGACTATGAAACATAATTTTCGAAAGGACGAAATACTCGTATATTGTAAACATCTTTTAAACGTGCTCACATATTTTTCAAGTGTAATGCAGCCACAGGATGTGGTAAAATAAATCACAATAATACTTCTGTAATCAGCTCTTTGTTATCCCTTTTATTAAGAAATACCAGAATATAAATGACTGTTTTTAACAACAAGTGCCACAAAACAGCAATAACTACTCCAATAAAATCTCAAAGATTTTATAAATTCCGAATTTTCTGTGGGAAACAAAGTTGCGATTCATACAATGCATCATAAAGTTGACAGGAAGTGAAGACCTAACAAATATTAAGCTTCTATATAAACCTAGGAACGAAAGGATATTATCGTTTTTATTCAGTAATAAACAGGAAATCCAAAATGACCATATCGTGCGAATAACACTACTAGGAACGTCGACAACCAATTATGTGAATATGGTTTAGTAGGGAATACAATAAGTGTGGCCTAATAATCAAAACGTAATATCAAAAAAAGCACCGAACCTCCAGGCGATTACCTTGAGCGACGGATGGAGACGTTAAATGACGTGGTGCAAAACTCGTCACAATTACGTAAATGAACTCTCTGTTTGTCTTTCCGTAGATACATAATTTTAAAATCCTTCTCCCCATTAACTTCTCCAGTCATATGTTCTATACATAATCTTTCTACTATTATTGAAACCAATACTTTATCATTCATCTAAGTAATTTAGTTACACTGTAGTTATGTTATGTGCCAACTTGGACCGAAGCACATACATGCCACGTTCTGTATTGCTCATGACCGATAGTATTAAACATTGGTTCTCCTTAGTCGCAGACTGAGCCGAAGTTGAGTTGATAACATCGTAGATTACCCAAGAAGTGTACACAATACGTATGAAGCAACAGAAAGCCGATAATACATACGAATCTGTAATAACCCAGTGGGTGAAAGATTGGGTTTCTTGCGTTTCATGACTAAATGTAGACCGCTTTTCAAATAGGTGATTTTTTAGTTGCTCGTACATTTTGTCGAAATTCGTGGGACGTTTTCGAGATACTTGGATATTAATAATGTTGATGTGGGGGTTGGATATATAATGCACGTCAAGCACAGCGATTTGGTCAATAACCAATTTACCCCAAGAGCAATCGAAGTTTATAAAGTCAAGTGGTAATATCCATGAACAAAAATGTGGTTCGAATTATTAGACTAGTGAAGCTAGGGTAGGTGTATAGGATAACACCTTGATTTTAGTATAAACCGGTCCTAGTTTTTAATTCACTCCAAGGATTTTAAGAACCTTTTAAATGCTTTTATCGCACCATCGTACTAACATTCAAAGAATGTTGTTGGAACAACCGAAATTGTAGTTCAAAAATTGAAAAAAAAATAAAACATGGGCTTTCGTGCTCCTTGAGATACATGACACTGACAAATCAACACTGGTCCCAGAAATAAAACTTATAAGCCAAGAAAATGAGGTAATCGTTTTACTACCTCACTAATCGATATACAACAAGCAGGAAAAATACCCTAACTGGCCGATTAATGACAAGATGCGGAATTACTCGAGTCCGTTAAGCAAAAGTTTGAGAACAACTGGGACATGTTTCCTATTCGCCAAATGAAAGATGACCCTCTAATACTAGAGTAATCGAGACATATATTAGGAAATTATTATCTACTTGACCCTGTTGAGGGGGTAGGTACGGTTAGACTTTATAAATTGGCCATCTGAGAAGTCCCCAATTAAATAAAAGGATCGTACTGAGGATTTATCAAATAACGTTACAAATAAAATCCCCGGTGGTTTATCAAACAATATGTATGATGGACAGTAGCCTATGATAGTCTACGTTAGATACCATTTTGAGAGTGGAGAATGTGCAGCTACAGGTATTCAGTTAGTGTATGTCCAATATTGTTCGTGTATCTTGAGAATAACAGGTGTAGTTATGTACATACTCTGTGTGGAGCAGAGGTTAAAGATGGTATGTGAAATGGCTAACAATCTACTACAACGCCGAAAGTGGTTCTTCTCACCTTTACGTAGCTTCCGGAGATTTGTTCACTGAAAACGGTCTATCTTTCTTGACAATTGTCCTCTTATTTTATTTACTGTTACTGTGTGAAAAATGTGAGATAGCGCACAAAGTTAAGGCTCATTACAACAACTGTTTGCCTGTAAAAGTTGAAAGTCAACTATACAGGATCATTTTCCCCTATATCTGGATAGTGTAATAAGATTAACTGATATAAGTCCTCAGAAAGAACCTTTTGTATTGTAATATTAAACTAATTATACGTATGAAATAGTATGTGTAGGTAAGCATTTAAATTTCTTCCTTTCCATTGAACTACTAAGATGGTCTACTAGAACTAGCAATACTAATATGACTTAACTACCTTTAAGTAGTCTTGAATCTTAGCTTTTACAATGAGTTAGTACACATAAATTTAGAATGTACTACTGTAAAGGGATATATTTAGGATAAACCTTAGATATCAATGAAACTTCGACCTTTTTTTAACTCAACACGACTGGTAAACGAGCAAATCATTTATACGACGAATTCACCAGGCTAGCCAAAAATTTTTGGTAATTCCCTAATATTTCCACAATGTTAAAATATCTTAATTTTACGAATATTAATTTTATAAAAATGTTTATCTGACGTTCCAAGCAAACTCGAAGTACAAAATGAAAATTTAAAGTAAGCTTTATTTTAAAGATAGATACAATTTAATCAATACAACTAATCTAGCTTTCAGTACTATCGAATTTTGCTTATTTATCGTCTCATCTTGTTTTAGCTCCTTTTCAGCCAATGACAGAATTTCTTCCGAATTTAAGTCTGGGTGAAGCTCTCTCAAATTCCTACACTTTTTTAAGAGCCTGACGCAGTGTCAAGTAAAATAAACACTTACTTAGACAGTGTCGAACGATTGTCCACTAGTTTGAACATGTTTAATGTTTCGAGCCTGTGATGACCTTTGAAAAAACTCTGGTGAAAGTTCACAAAAAAGCTATTGGCCTTACGCTCTTTCACAATCTTCTGGATAGATAATATTCTGCACTGTGGTAGTAGGACATGGTCGATCATACGAAGGATCAACACGTGGAGGAAATGCTTTGTATACATCGTACCACAATGGGCGGTCTTCATAATCTAGAGCCCCTTTTTCAATCATTCCTTTGACTCTATTGATACATAGTTGTGGAAAACATGCTCGAACCTTTTAAAAATAGAGGCGAACCTTTCCTTTCTGCTTCCAAGCATTTTTAAACATACCTCGACTTCTTCGCAAGGTTGACTTTGAATCCCTATTGTGATGAACAAAAACCACCAGCTTAATTTAAAGAATATAAGATTTTAGTTGTTACAAACAACCGGAATGAGATATGACTAGCATTATTTGGATAAGTTTCTGTAATTGTACTCGTTTTTATAAGAACATTGAAAATATTGTGAAAAACATCTTAACACGTGCAATGGACACTTATTTGAAGGTAGAACGGACCTTAAAAAACGGCATGCAAACCAGGATTGGTGAGCATCGAAGAAAAAGAACACGACGTGAGAACAGCAGCGTGTATATTTCAGACAGTGAAATAGGCAGTTATGTTATGCAAAGGAAAGCCTAATTATAAATTGGTCTCTTGCATCATTTTTCTAGTCCAGTTTAAGCAGAGCTTGTTATTCTTCCGGCACATTCAGCAGTCGTTACTCTACAGTACAAAAACGTGGATTCACGATGATGACATCACACAATTATTTTAATGATGATACTCTACCCCTCTCTCCTTGAGGAACAGTCCTCAGTTCCTAGTTATAGACATGGATAGGGTCTTAACTTCTTCTGGTGGTACTTAGTAATAGCTGGTGGCGGGTGGAGGTTGACTAACTGGATAACTTAGTGTACCAACATTTGTCTTTGTTTCAGTTGGTTATGGTGTACTGTTATAACGTAGCCTTACATTTACTGAAGGTAACGTAAGGCAAAGCAAGGAGTCAGATAGTTACATCATCCTAGGACCTTTACAAAGATCGGTATAACTTGCTCTATATTCTTTGTGTAGACACAGGGTGGTTCAGTCAAATATAATCTCCGGGTTTATACACCGACCCGTTTGCTTGTCGTTCGTATACGTCTTTCTGGTTTTCGCTAGCACTTCATAGTTTCTTTTGACAAGACGGTACGAATCAGCAGGAAGGCTAGGAGTATTAGTTTTGTGTAGTGAGTATTCCTGAGCTCCACATAGCAAAAGTAAAACATGTACGTCAGCAGATAGGCGTAATCCCTGACCAAAATGTAGAACAGAAGCACTGATGTGAGATAAACTAGAGAACATCGGGGTATTACTTTATTCCAACATTCAGCCGACGACTTACTGATGAACGATTATACAATGGCTCTAGTAGTTCTGTTTGTTCATTCCATCAGACCATTACCTTCCTTGTGGTACGCGGTAGCATTTTTTTCCTGGACTCCCAATAACTGGCATACTTGAGTGCTGAGATGACTTTCAAATGTTGCGTTTAATTCAGAATGGAGTAAGTATGGGGCTCCATGGCGGCAAATCCAATGATCGGTGACAGCTTATGTAGCCGTCAGGACATCTGCTGTGGGTCATTGACGGCCTAACACCATTTACTAAGGTAGTATGCAGCTTCTTGTGTTCCTCATTGTTGTAAGAGGCTTCACAATATCAGTGCAGACGTGATAGTGTAGTCCTACTGTCACCATTAGGGTTGGAGATGCATAGGATGTTTGCCGGGGTGGTTTCATACAGTAACAACGTTTGAAAAGTCCCGTTATATTTTTATAGATAGAAGACCACCCAAATCTTCGAAGAATGTCATGTTTGTTTTTCAGTTTCTCCTAGTGGCCGAGGTGAAGATGCATCACCTTTATACTATTCTGAACTTATACACGTGTTAGTATCAAAAAATGTTGTTTCGAATGGCCGACTAGAAATAGCGTGTCGTCACACTATCTCAGACTACACAAATAGCACGAAGACGAAGGGTTTCTAAAGGCTAATCTTTTAACACTCTAACGATGGCGTACTACTTCCATTTATTTGTCTTTGGCTTAAAGATCGCTGATCCACACCCGCCACCTGCAGAAGTGAATAATCGATCTTAGTGGCTGTGTTAATGATGAATTCGACAGAATCAGGAGAATAAAATATACAGAACAGACCATCAGCATTTTCATGTCTGCTTCCAGGTCGGTCGAAAATCGCACAAGATGCACAGTGGTGGGTCAAAGTTTACGCTACTCAAGAGTGAAATCAGATATTCCGCAACACTCTGAGAGATTCTGTATCAGGTAAACGTTTCTCAGCATTTTCGTCACTACCTTTTAGTAAGCTCTGTCCGAGTACGTATGGACCATGTTGCACACCAGTGACTCCGCTTGTTCCGTGAGCCTGAAGCTTAAGCAGCTCATTGGCATGACATGGTACATTTAACATACTACTACTGTAGAACCCAAACTATGGTTTGGACTGAAGAATAACTATCTAGGTAGTTTAGATACGCTATATTGGCCGTTTGAAACCGAGACGAGGTGATTGGGTAAATGACGGTTCTAAATTTCACTATAAATATAAATATACATCATTACCTAAACAAATGTTACCACTCAGTTATTCAACCAATAATTGTTCATTCAATGGAATCTTAATTTTAATAAATAGACAAGTTGGTAAAGACAATAAGAAAATTACCAATCGCAGTAATTTAATATTATTCTATTCTTTCTGGATAGATCACGCACATATTCGTTCAAAAAATAACACCCGGTTGCTTTACAACACAGTTTTCAATTCTGGAAGAGTGCTTCAATTCACAATCAAAAGTGCACAATTCCAGTCAATGCAAGCAATAGAATCAAAGAAGGAACGAAATTAATATGGCTGCCGTCAAGACTAAGTATCAACTAAAACAACATAAGTGCAGTTCAGAAAGGAACCTGGAAACTCAGTGAAGGCGTAATAAAAATAAAAACCATAACAAAATACGAATATTACCATCGCAAATGTAATCAAAGGACTGACAAAGTGTACAAATGAAGTGATCGATAGAAACAAATTTCAAGTGCATACATAGAAGGATTTTCACACAGAGAACCTTTGTAACGACCGAACTGCCAGTATTCGGTTTGAACGCAAGACTGAAGGATCAAAGTATATTCGAATAGGCGAGACTACGTTCTTCTGTATAGCTTACAAAGCGTTTCTGAGACACTCGTATTAAATTATATCAAAACACAAACTCTGTGCTCAATTTAAACTGTTCTAATTTAGGAAATAGAACAAATTATATCAGAAATACATAATACCCCAAACGGTACAGTCTGGGCAATACAGTCAGAAGTTTCTCTAACGCAAAGTAGGGCGCTAAACAATAAAAGATACAGTTAATACCAAAGGGTTCGATACCTGAGAATCAATAAAAATATTCCCAACAAAACGGGATCAATCATCTATCTGCAGGGATTCCAGCAAACCTCCCAAGCAGACAGTCAGAAGGTTAACAGTCACACACTGAATCATGCCGTGACCTTGAGCTTAGTCAAACACGGCCTTACAGTCAATAGTCCGGCAACATGCAATGAAAATCAGGTAACAAAAGACGTCTTTAATCACAATTACTTGGTGGAAGTTCAGACGAGGAAGACTGATAAACGAAAGGTGTGGTTAAACGAGATCTGAACAAAGGTTAAAATACAGGACAGGGAGAAGAAACAAATAAATGACAGTACTGTCCACCAGAAGGTTGCGGAGGGATTTTCACTATTGTCTTTCGGTTACAAACTTCAAAATGGATCTTACACCGGCCTGCAAAATACCTCCATACAACACAAAGCTGCTTCTGTGCCTTTGGTTATGGTTTGTCCTATAGCATAGTCGATTCTAGAGGAACGAGTAGGACTTACTGCACTACGCCTACTCGACCTACCTACATTGATATAACAAGGAAATGATTCAAACCTTCAGGGAGACATGCCTTACGTATATTCCCTCTAAGCAATCCATTATTCATACTAACATTTATCGTCCTAACCTTTCTGTCGCTATCTGCTTCACAGCCGTCAACTACTCCTAAGGTCCACTTTCCACGGGTCGAAATGTCCGAAGCCACGATTACTACATCTCGTTTCTGGATGTTCATCTAACCATTTTTGATGTTCTTATAGGGACGGTAAATGTTCTCTTAGCCACATTTTCTAAAACACATAAGCTAGATAATTAACACTTTTCCGACGTTTGTCATACTTATCTCTGATGTGACCTTCGACTATTCCGTCACATTCCCTCAATAACAGCAAACTATTTGCAGATAAGGCTAGTTTATCGTTAGCATCTTAGACAACTGAAGCCAAGTCTCAATTGTCCAATATCCTTTCAATTTCGACTAACTATGTGCTCAAGGTCTCATCAGTCAAAATTTATTTTCTAGTGATCAATAATAACAACTGGCGTATAGACCTAGTCGTCCTTTCCCAAATACCATCCCTGTGGCTGGATGAGGGAGGGGTAACCTGCCATTTAGTCTGCCTCGTTGATAATTCATTACTTATCTTCTGCTGATTCAACTGTAGCACATATCTCCCTAGTTCAGAGACTGCACCTACGAAGTTCGACCCGTTGTCACTGTAAACTTCTGCGGGCCTCTCTCTCCTTCCAATAAAGCGTAATAGGGCTATTATAAATGAATCAATATTCAAACCGTAAGTCTTTACAATATGTACAACTCGTGTTTACAAACAGGAAAATACACATCCATATCTTTTTTCCAATGACCTCCCTCTTTTGACCAAAAATGGTCCAAAGTAATCTACACATACCGCTGAGAAGCTGTGCCATCGTTGTTGTACTCCATAATCTGGAAGCGGCGCCATCAGTTGTTGTCCTGAATTCTTCCTTAACCGCCGACA